ACCACCGGCAGCGAACAAATTTAAATGTAAACTTTCGGGAGAAGATTGTAAAGAGTAGAGCAGCAACCGGAGCCTGCAGCCATCGGCAAGGTACTCCTTCGTCCCAATATAGGCTACACGCGCGGGACTCCTTCAGGATCCTGGTTGATTCGACCGGCCCCGACTGCACCCTGTCGAGTCAACTGTCCAGAAAAAGCTCCGTTAGTTTATGCGAGTAGCTGGAACTTGGAATCAACGACCCACATCTAAGCCCTTCTAGACAAGTTTTTTTTCGTAGGGCTGGAGTCAGTGCTAATTCAGAACGTAGTTGGAGTGTTTCAGGTCATGCTATGTATGCCACACCTCATTCCATGAACCAGTCGAATCCTTTCGAGACGATCAATCAAGAAAAGATTAATCCTAGTCGTGTAGAGGCTATGCACAATATGTTCGAAAGAAATGCAGGTGAGCGATGGTGAGACTGTAGTACCGTTGGGCTTGAACTTTCAAATTTTACTATTAGTAAAAAGGTTGAGCACTCCGTGAATTAGTGAACTGAGCTAGATTTAGCTTACTCACGACAAAGTGAGCGGTGGTTTCTAGTGGTGGTTTACATGATCCTGGTCAGATCAAGTTGTTGATTTTGAAAATGGTCAAGATCGGTGGTCATGCTGCTAAGTGAAAGGAACCATCAGTAGCGGTAGTTGTTGCGAATGAGTCAAGGGCAACATTCACGAAAAATCTGCTAAACTCGCCTCTCTTCCAACACCCCGGTTACAGTGGGGGTTACATTTGAAAGGAAACTTGACGGACCTTTATCTTCTTATTTATTTACAGTGCGCATAGGTGCACAGCTCTGTTTGGTGGGGGCACCGAATTGTATTGAGCGAAGCTTGTTCCTTGTTCAGCTTGCTGTTCCTCGTGACGACCTGCAATTCTTGCAACCAAAGTGCTTATCGCGGGTTTGCAGGCCTCATGGTCAGCAAAATGAGACCTGCTATTTAACACGAGTGGAAAGAACTGGTCAAAGCGCCGAATGCCCCTCCTAAAGCCCAAATTGTCCTCAAATGTGGTTGACGCTGACAGGGCTACGAACTGAAATATACACCCAAAAAGTGTGGAAAAAGGGAAACTACCATCCTCAAGCTCTCGAAAGGTAGGCGTGTCGAACAGTAGACGTGTTCAAAAAAAATAGTGTGTCCTTGTCGCTTCTCTTTTTGGGTTTGCCTACTCTGCGAATTGTTTCTAAAGCCAGTGACGTCTCCTTAAAGGTACACTCCACGCTAGTCGTCTGGGCGGGACTAGGCCCACCACGGCCTCTTCGATACGCCTTTTCTTTCTATAGTCCGGAGAGAAACCCCTTCATAGAACACAGTAGTGGTTCCTCCCATATGACTAGTGCGGAATGTTCTGTTCTTAAACGTCTTCATAGTGCAAGTAGTCGGTAACTACACTCAAAGTATTCTCTATAAAAATGCCAGATTGATATATGCTCTAAGGTATAGTTGTACTCCAAATCTGCTTTGGAGGGAACTTGGACGGGGACTTTCAATGGGCATATGGTCGTAATACCCGCTAGATCGGTCGTGGGAATGGGCGTGGGTTGAAGCGCAGCCAGGGCGGCCTTTCCCATCAATGAAGCCATTCTGAGCAGGCTACGACTGGTGGGAAAGGCTGCTCTGGCTGCATTTCAACCCATGTGGCGTCCCACGATCTATTTGCCGCGATGATGACTGTAATTTTGATGCGGCGGTGGTGGATAGTCAGCGAAGTAACCAGCTTGGTTGTGAGAGGGCGGCAATCCGCAGCTGATCGCTGGGCCGCTGTGACGGCCGGAAGAAGTTTTGCCTCGAATGTAGCTGACATAGCAGTCGTCGCAGTCCAACCATCAACGGTGGAGCGCGCTTAACAAAAATCTGCGCGTCTCCCAAACCGCGCGACTCAAAGATTCCAACTGCAAAGTATGAACCCTGCCTTATACCTGAACCAGCGACTACTCACAGATGCTTAGTCGCCGCCGATCAGTTTTTATTCACATTCACGATCAAATTGAGAGAAAATACTTTTCTACCATCGAGATTTGAACAGCTTCCAAATTGCGCCTTTACAGAGCAATGAAGTAGTGTGGATATCAAACTGAACGGATAACTGGTGATTTTATCAGCGTTTTATAATTACTATGTAGCAAAACTAATCTCATTAAGCAAGAGTGAGTAGAGAAGTCAGTTTTGATTCGCTTTCAGACCTCTGATCCATGTGCTTCTCCTCCGTGATCTTTCCTCATCCATATACGAGTATGTACAATGAAAGCAAATCCTATCATCGACAATTGTGATCATCCTGCTGCTTGAGCTGAGACCCCCAGAGCTGAATGAACAAAAAAAGAGGTTGCTAAACGGACTCTCTCGCTGCACCCCACTTTATGTTCAGTCCTCGTTCTGATCGTCGTGGTGGAAGTCTGGTCGTGGTGGTTCGAACTTGTTCAGTTCAGGGCGGGTTCAACGCACTCGTTCCTGTTCCTCCATGCTATATCCCAACCTCATTTGTCACACAGACCCGCCCTAAACTTACCTGATCGCGCCGAGAGATGTACCGTAGTAGTGGCATGATTGGAATTGGCTTTGAGTTGTGTTCAATCAGTCGTATGTGTTGGTGTTGAACACTGCTCTCAGTTCAGAAGTGCATTGAGCACTTGTAGCTGCTTTTTCGGTATTCTCTCATTTAACTTAGTTGTTGAGTTGTTTGTAGATGTTGTGAAGTGAGGTACTGTACTTGTTACCGCTAAGTTCATTCTAACATTTTCAGCACCGGCACAGAGCAGATGGAACGTGCAGCCGCCATATCACCTCGCCAACAGACCAAGAGAAGACGACGCTTATCACGAGATCGAATATCACTCAAATCGACCACCACCAGTGAAAGCAACAGCAATACCACCACCTCCCAGCTCAGCAGCACCACCACAACCAGTCCTGCCACCGTACATCGGTCCGCACGCGTCACCTCCTCGTCATAACGCTATCGGAATTCGTAACAATTCACCACAAAATTATGTTACTGAATACACGCCAGCGTATCCAACTACACAGCCGCCCTCACATCCGCCCGGAAGGAACGGTAAGTTGCAAGGTAGACGGAGCTGGCTGGACTCTTCATTTTGATTTCCTCTTCAGGATCTGCCACATCATCCCAGAATGGCGGCTACTACTCATCAAACAGCTCCGGTGTTGGCGGTCCCGCATACCAGCATAATAATCAGGTTTGTTGATGATCTCGTTGATGTCCCGGATGGGGACTTGAGCGCATGCGCATCTAGGGCAGTATGAAATGCTATCTGTCACTTAAAGGCACAGTTCGCGACCGCAAATTGCGGGAAACGGAACTCAAATAGGCACAAAAAAGTGCTAAGTATCTGATTAGCGGAGAAAAGCAGCAGAAAAAGCAGTCCGAAATGTTATAGAGAAAGATAACATAGTGGCTACTAGCTAGTAGCTAGCAGCCGGTGGGGTGAGTTGAAGGTTTACCATGATGGCTTGACGAGCTTGCTCCAGCTTCACAAGAGTTCACAGGTTTCACCAGAGTGAGACTTGTAAACCGGAACTAGTGAAGCAATGAAAAAATGGTTATGCCCGCTCCCCCCCCCCTTTCGCCGAGCAGCGCTACGCGAGTGTCTTATATATTCGTTCTCGGACCATTCTTGGTGCTCTGGCTTTAGCCCTTCTATTTTGTGGGTCTTCCTGTTTACCTACTCTTAATCCATCTTAATATAGTTCTTGTTTTGTAGGGATGTCATGGCGTGTCCGGAAGAGGGGTGAGGAGTGGAGCGGTGGCTTCATTATTCGTTGCCCGCGCAATTTTTATTGCTCGCTCACTGCGACAATTGGTGTCGAACGACATTGCGCCAAAACCAGCCGCTTGACATGCCCAGCATCGCGGGAACAAGACTGTAAGGAAGAGGTTTGAAAACAAGACAAATCAAAGAACTCACGTTCTCGTGTCGGAATACTTGGATTTTCTATCACCATTTTCTTCCATGGCTCATTGCTCAGGCTGTTGCTCTTCATGAGATTTCCCTGCTTGATTGGCGTCTCGTTTGCCACCTGAACAAAAGCTCAGTTGATTATCGAGTACAGACCCAGATGTGAGTTCTTCAGCCCACCTTATTCAGTGAAACAAGGCTAGCAGCACTTCCAGGCGGTCGATTGCCGGCGCCAATCTTTCGGAGGAACGAGCCAATTTTGGTGGGTTTCCAGCCAGTGGGTGGTAACTGGTGTGAAGACAGCGATGCAACGTCCATTTCACTACTTCGTGAGACCCGCCGATCGTCGTACTGCAGAAAGGCAGATGTTTATGAGGCACAATAAGAGAGTATCTGTCAAAGAACTCACCGTTCCGATGTTATCATAGAAACCGTCATCTTCATCGTCGTCGGCTATGGAAGCTGCTCGTGACGACGCCGACTTGGTGACCGACGATGGAGCCTCGCCTTGTAGAAATCTGGAAAACTCGTACTTGTGGAAAACTGTCGCCCAATTCAGTGAGCTTTAACAATGAATTCATTTGGGTTGTATGCATGATTGCACCACTTATTTCATATACAGTCGTCATCCTTGCACTTGATAGTCAATGTCAGTGCGGCTGCGTGCGGCGCGGTCGCCCGCACCCGTACTGCACCAATCGTTGAACCAGGAAGTGACATTACTGTATTATATCCTTCGTGTTACTCGTTTTCTATCACTTTTTGTCGCATACGCGTTTCAACGAAAAGGCTGAGAAGGCTTCAAACAGTGTGCACGCTCCTTCTCGCCGACACGCCCCTATCAAGTGCAAGGATGACGACTGTATAGCTCTGGAA